TTAAATTAGAAATGCACGTAAAAATTGGAATGTTAGGTTAGGTTTTTTCATATAACAAAACTGCTCTCCATTATTTAATTTTAATTCTATGCTATGGTTATACATTTGTTCTATAGCTTCCACAATATTTTTTGGAAGTGTTGGTATTTTTTTCATTCTAGCTTCATACGTAGATTTTCTAAAGAGACGAATATCTGAATGAGGTATATCAACAACAGTCGTCTGTAATGTTTGACGTATAATTTTATTAGATCTATTAAAAATATCTGAAGTAGCTTTTCTTTTTAATTTAGATGTTAATTTTTGACGATTAATAATACTGTTTGAAATAGGTGAATGATTGTGCTTATTATTAACCGAAATTATTTGCTTAATGTATTTACAAATTACTACACTTGATTTACAATTATGATCGGTACATCTAAAATAAATATTTTTGTCTTTCATTTCCTTACTTTTACTAAATTTATAGCCGTCAATTATAACACATAAATTACCTCTTCGAGTTTCAAATTTGTCATCGATTTTTAATTCCATACTGTCTATATCCAAACAAAAAACCACTAAAACACGTTGAAAATTAAACTTTACTACAGTGTTAAATGTTGAAACACGTTGTCCGAGCTCAATACACTGCAACGATCATAAACTATCAAATGGCATCCTCTGTATCTATACTAGTAGATAAATATCTGTAGCTTTATTTAATGTGGTATTTTCCAATAATTAGGACATGGTCTACAGATTAAACGATTGAGTACTTATTAGATTAGATTACGCAAGACTTTCAATTACTAGTTGCAATACCTATTGCGCCCAAAGGTGTTTTCATAAATGCACCCAAACGTGTTAACAATTTTCAGGTAAATTATTTACACTACGCCTAAACGGGTCATCCCCGTTTACAAGTACTACAAAATATAGAAAATAAATGAAGTAGTGAAGCCTACCAAAATTGTTTGTATCTATAATACTTTATAAATAATAATTTAGGACGTAAGTAAGCCTATAATTTATAATATAGCAAGAGTTCATAAGTAGCTAAAGTATAAGATGCAGAATTTTACAATAATTTTACATACATATTTATTTTCAACTACAGAATAAATCAGAATAACACCCAGTAATAGAATATTATAAATAATCAACGCAGTTAGTGTAAGATAGTAATATAAGTTATCTAAACTTGACTAATAATGATGCAAAAATCTCAATGAAAACTTTTCAGATTTTATAAATCATAGTTATTTAAATTAAATTTATTTTTATTTAAAAAAAATACTATTATTTTGAAATTTAAATTACCTAATAATTTAACATCGAATTTAAATTATATTGCCTCTTTATTCCCATTATTAAAACCACAAGAATTTATATTAGGTGCTTACATAGTTATATGAAATATTTTTTACGTACAAAAATAGTTGAATGGTTGAATATTGGAAACTGTTATCACAGCTCAATCGCGACTCAGGTATTGATGACCCCCATATAATCATATAGTTGTGTACTGGCTTTGTAAGACAAATACTACGCAGGTACCTAATACACTACTAATATAAGCCATATAATATCGTACAAACATTACACATAAATTATACTTTAACCACTCGAGTTAATGGCTTTATAAAAAATGCATGTATATTAATTATCTTAGCAGATATCATTACCTAATCTTTAAGAGGTTAAAAGTTATTTAAAGAAATCTATGCGTAAAATTGCTAATGAAATATTATTTTTGAACTTTTCCCATCCGTTTATACATTATACATAATGTATTGAGTAAAGTTTTTATTATAATAAAACAACACAAAAGATTATCGTTATTACTTATTACTCTGTGTTATACTTTTGTACTATTATAATTAATTGGTCAATACGTCCTATTGTTCATGAGTCCTGCACTCCTGCATAATTTTGGTGACCATCATTTAATATTTACTACCACAATTTATTGTATGTTTATTGTTTAATAACTCATCAGTTTACAGTTATATAAATATTTAATTTACAATTAGGCATAAATAGTTGGTATGGAGAGGATATTATGTACAGTAGAGAGTAGAAACAGCTTATAGTTGATGAACACTTGTCTCAGTTCGACATTTTATCTATTACCTAATATTTAATACTTTAATAGCATGATATTATTATTTTTAAACTATGACTGATATGTATTTCAGTGTATTTTATAATTTTTCAAATACATTTTACATTAACTATTTTTATTCAAGTTTTTCCTACATTGCAAGGAAACACAAACACAAAAGGAATATTATCTATCATTGTGAAAACGTTACGTTTTCGTATTTTTCTATTAAAATCCAAAAAATATGTAACTTAAATATAGTATAATATTAATAAAAAATAAAAATAAATAATAATATAATATAATATTTTAATATTTTATTGTAATTATTAATATTTATTTATGAACAAAAGTATAAATATATTAATATGCATGTATATAATATTATATATTTATAATGAAACAACAAGACGTGTTATGAACCTTCGATACAAAATTTTTAATGAATATTGAATGTTACTAGAAGTATAAAAATTTGAAATAATACTCGTAGTTATTATTTAAGCAGCTATACAGTTACTTATTATTGCAATACGAGACAAAAATTTCGATAAACTAACGATTGAGAACAATAAAAGTAGATATTTCAAATATTCCAATACACCTGTACTAGTAGCTATAAATACATATTATTTTATTATGTGTCTTATATTATAGTAATGTAATATACTACATTAGACAAATGGGTACGTGTGATAAAATACGTTTATTACATCAATAAAACAACTCGGTGATATTTATAACCTGCCTAACCTTTACATGTTGTAATATTGCTTTACTATTTATTCCGTCAATTAATTTACTTGTAAACGGTAATGACCATATTAAATTTTGTTCTAAGGTATAGAGGTGACATTCTGCAATCAGTTTGCTAGATATTTTAATATGCATATATTATAATATATTACTATATAAATTAAGATTGAAATTTGAAATACATTTTTTATTAATACTAAAATTTTAAAATTTATAACGCATTGTAAAATCTATTACTTTTGTATAAAGATACACAGGAACTATTTTAGTTATTCCTACAATTTTTTGACGGTCCGCGTATGTATTAGGTAGAAATAATCTAGCGTTGATAAGTGTGTATTTGTGTGAGTATTATTCAATTTTTTTTTTTTTTTTGGTGGGGGGAGGTAAGGGAAAGTACTATTAGAGTGCTTCAGTAACAATTACGGCTGTATACTTAAACTTACAATACATATTATTATATTAAACTATTATATAATCTATAGTTGTCTTAATTGAATAACTGAAAGGCATAAAATGAACGTTATTTGTGTTACCTACAATTTTTTTTTTTGTCTAAGGACGTATGATATTGTATTCTGTTTTTATAACGAAAAGGCATAAAGTATGTGATGATTTAAAAAAATCATTTGGGATAGTTAAAACATAATCATTATAATATTATGATTTATGATAACTACGAATAAAATACAACAGTGGCCATTACGACCCTGTGATATTAGTATTTAGATTTCACTTACTCTATAATCTATGTTGACGCATGATATTATTTTATATTATTATTTTGTATTTGTGTCGGTTTCGTTCGGTCTTGATAAAGGCGAAATGTGGC